ACCAGACAGATCGCTGGGGAAGGAGCAGAAATGATTTGCGGGCCAGATGGGGCCTGTGGGCTGTCAGCTGACCACCCTGGTCCAGGCCAGGAAGTCTCCAACCGGTCAATTGCTCAATAAAAACATAAGGAAGGAGCGATATTTACCACAGTTCAAACACTTATATTTTTATTTTGAGATGCAGATAATACTTTGTGCATCTGGCTTTGTTTTCAATTGGACCAAATAAATTCTATTGCTGCTTCCTCTTGTCTTTTGATCATACACGAGAGCGCCACCTAGCAGTGATCGATCGGTTGGAGACACCTGGTCTTGGCTGACACCCGAGGGCAATGCAATGCTGGTGAAGCACTGCATTGTCAGAAGTGCTGCACTTTGGATTAGACAACAAACCAAAGTTCTGTCCGCCTGTTCAGGTGGACATTGACGACCACCTGAAAATAGAGGGGAGTTTCTGCTGGTGTCCTGACCATCAATCCCCAGATAAAACTGGTCTTTCATTTCATGTCTGTTTGTGGGACACTTGCTGCACGCAAATTGGCTGCAATATTCACCTACAATACACAGTCACACCACTTTACAGTAAATCATGTGAAGCGCTTTGCAACATTGACTGAATGATGAGACAAATGCAAGGATTATTATTTGTTATTATGTGTCGTTCTACAGAGGATCAATGTGGACTGTAAACACCAGCTGTGAGCGTGAGTGTCTTCCAGCACCAACCAGTTTTCCTCTTCAATGTAATTGATTCAAACTTTTTCAGAAGTAACCTTCAGCATCAGTATCAAGCATTCAAGATCTGGTACAGCAAAGCCAGTAAAGTAAAGCTGGCTCTATTTTGTCCCTACAATGAGTCTAATCTATTAACGTTCACTACACTTTGCAGTATATCCTGTAAGATGTTTTGAGAATTGCCTCCCAACATGAAAGGCACTATATGAAATGCAAGGATCATTTATTAGAATCCAACCTCAGAACACCTACATTATATCAGTGTGAAGTTGTACACTCCCTGCTGACAATATCGGTTTGACCTTTCATACAGAGTTAGCAATTTACTTCCAAGAATGAACCACTTTGTGCTGTAATTCCCTATCCACTAAAAACCAAAATGAGCTAAGACTGTCCAAACTCATTTCAAAGCACTTATTCCTAATTCGCCTTCATTCTTAAATGAGTTACTAGTCAAACAAATAAAGTCTAGGCCCGCATTTGGTCTTTATTTCCACTTTAATAAGATTTTATCAAAGATATCACTAAAAAATCTTCTTGTGACATATGAATCCACCATAAAGTCCTGTTACAGCATTGACGCCAGCCAGTGCAGCAAGCCAACACATAGAAGAAAGAAAAACCATACAAAGCTTCAGTGGCTTCTATCAAGAGAACTGAATACCATCACTCAAAGACCAAGCCCAACAGTGTAGGAATCCACACATACCACATTATCTGTAACAAACCCGTAAAAAACATGCAAAATTAAGTTAAACTTAAATACATGCAAGCCTACATAATTAGTAATTAATCAAAGTCTAATCATTTGCGTAATAGTTATATAAACATGATTCCAATTGAAAAGCATCTGTTTTGATTTTTAAAAAAAAGAAAAATCTTTCAACTGTTACCCAAGGGATTATTATCCCCTCCCATTTCGATGGAGGAATTTCATTAATGCCATATTAACAAGAAACGAGAGAAGCCTCGTCGTTTTCATTAAAAACGAAATGAGGAAATAAAGCACAGACATGAAGATGGAGTTTTGCACAAAACAGTAAATTCAATGCAATGGGTTCTTCTGATGCTGGAAGATTGTTTTAAAAAGCAAGAAAATTACAGGGTGAAATTGCTTTAGGAAATACGTTTTAAAAAGCAATGTGGCAAATAGCAATTAAAATGCACGGCAATGTACGTAGCCTTTACATTTTGAACAACCATCATGCATCTCATGGGAAAGAAGCAAACAGAGGGACCATAAACGTCAGATACCTTTTCTACACAGAACGAAATACAAAAACTTAAAGCTTCAAGAATAAAAATATGAGTAATCTTTAAGAAAAATGGTTTGATTCCATTATATACAAACAAGTAAGCGTAAGAAAAGTCCAAGGTTTGATCCAAGGCCATGTAAAGGAGTCTCTCCCCCAGCTCAGATGTGAATCCAGCATTGTTAAGCGTTTTCCGATGTCCGCCCAACATGAAAGGTGCAATACAAATGTAAGACTTCTTGGAACAGTAGTATCAGTAATGCTGCTTACTGCTCATTTGCAGCCCACTGATTTCACCTGGCTATTCAGCATCACCAGATACTTTATGGAATATAATGCCAGTTTACCCCATTTCTCATCATATCTTCTTTGTTTCCAATGAGAAAAAGGCAACATACATAGTTATTAGAGGCAAGTGAAAGTGCTTTACGGATTACAATAGCTAAACACAATTGAATATGGGAACATTTGGAGCCAACCAAGCAGGTGTAAACCCATGCATCGTCACTACGAAGTTTAGCATTTCAGTATTCCAAAAAACTAGCCTCAAGGAAGACAATGCTTGGGATCATGGCCCTCAACAAAGAATTAATAACATTAAATCAGAATAAGATGGAGAAAGCAGGCTGCTCTCCTGTACTGAGTGGTGAAGTGTACACATGGCAATGCCAAAGATGTCATATTCATTTCTACCCTGTGCAAGCACCTCCAACTCTCCAGTGTGACAGCAACCCTGTACAATCTTGGAGGCTAAGGACAACCCCAGGCTCCTCTTCTCCATCACGAACCAGCTCCTCTCATGCCTCACCCATTCTCACCTCAAAAGCCAACTGTGGGGCGATGCTGGATTTCCTCGAATCCAAAGTCGAGGGAATCCGCTCAACTGTCTCTGCCGCTGCATCTGCTACTCACTGCCCATCTCCTCCGCCCATCCCAGCCCCCAACCACCACTCCCTCCACACCTTTGAACAACAACAACAAAATTACATTTATAGAGCACCCTCTACTCACTGACATCGTAAATCTCTCCCTGTCCACTGGTATTGTTCCCACCCCTTTAAAAAAAAAGCTGTCATCACTCCTATCGTTAAAAAACCCTCCCTGAACCCTTCTCTACTCCCTAACTACTGCCCCATCTCCAACCTCCCCTTCCTCTCCAAGGTCCTGGAAAGAGTTGTTGCTTCTCAGCTTTGCTCCTTCCTCTCCCACCACTCCCTTCTCGAACCCTTCCAATTGGGCTTCTGCGCCGCCCACAGCATAGAAACAGCCCTGGTCAAAGTGACAAATGACATTCTGTCCATCTGCGACCAGAGCTCCCTCTGCCTCCTCGTCCTCCTTGACCTCTCTGCTGCTTTCGACACCGTCGAACACTCTATCCTCATCCACCGCCTCTCCTATGGCGTTCCTCAGGGCTCTGTCCTTGGTCCCCTCCTCTTCAACATCTACACGCTCCCTCTTGGTGACATCATCTGCAGACATGGCGTCAACTTCCACGTGTATGCGGATGACATGGAACTCTACCTCTCTGCCTCCAACCTTGACTCCAGGACCACTGCTGTGCTGACAGAATGTCTATCAGACATCAAGTCCTGGATGAGAGCTAACTTTCTTCAGATGAACGTCAACAAGACCGAGGCGCTCCTGATTGGCTCCTGTTAGCGCTCCTCACCTCAGGCGCTGACAGCATCACCATCCATGGTTGCACACTCCACCTTGCTAAGCCCGTCCAGAACCTTGGGGTCTTGTTTGACCCTCAACTATCCTTTCTACCCCACATCTGCACCATGACCCGCTCGGCCTTCCCACACCTCCGCAACGTCGCTCGGCTCCAACATTGTCTCACACCGCAGGCCGCAGAAACCCTCATACACGCCTTCATTACATCGAGGCTCGACTATGTAAACTCACTGCTTGTCGGCCTCTCCAACTCCTCCCTCCAAGGATGTAAATCATCCAGAACTCTGCAGCCCATGTCCTCTCCAGCACTAGGTTCTGGAACCCTATCACCCCCATCCTTGCCCAACTCCATTAGCTTCCCATCACACAGAGGATACAGTTCAAGATCCTGGTCCTCACCTTCAAAGCCCTCCATGGTCTTGCTCCCTCCTACCTCTCCGACCTCCTAACCCCCTACCACCCTGTTCGCTCCCTCCGTTCAGCGGGCTCCAGCCTGCTTCACGTCCCCCGCCTTGCTTACTCCACTATCAGCAGGCGGGCCTTCCGCCACTTTGCACCCACCCTCTGGAACTCCATCCTGCAGTCCCTCCGTCTCGCCTACTCCCTCGCCACCTTCAAGACCCACCTCAAGACCCTCCTCTTCAACCGTGCTTTCAATTTCCCTGCTTCCCGCCCGCCTTCCACCCTCCCCTAGCCCCACCCTCAGCTCGGGTCTGTAACTCTGTCTGTCCAGCGCCTTGGGACATCCTCCCGACATGAAAGGCGCTTTACAAATGTAATTTTGTTGTTGTTGTTGCAAAAGACAAAATAATAATCTATATCCTCTTTTCTTGCCTGATAGATAAAAGGCTCTGGATATGTACAGCAATAGTTAAAAATAAAATATCTTCACAAAATTAGTATTTCACAATCATGATCATAATGCACAGGCCACAAAACTATTTCTATTTTCCCAAATTATACAATAAACTTTCCTCTCACCCTCCCTCTTTTCCCCAAACCACTTATTTTTCCCACAGCCTCTCTCAACCACAAACCATGCGGAGGAAGATACAATGCCTCCAGGCTTCCATTAATGCTGTTGTGACCTTGCTTACTTAGATTTTATCAAAATCACCAGAAAGCATGAAGGACTTAACAATGTCCCACTAGCATTGGAGGCCAGAAACTTGCTGATTCCAAATGCCCAAATCAGCCAAGAGTGGCTGAGTCACTGTTCATAACACTTCAAACTTTTGGCTACCAAAAGATCTGTTTCAATGGAATCAATCAGTAATCACCAATCTTACATTTGCCATACTATAAGTAAAAATAAGCAAAACATAGCGTAGTTACCTCTAGCAAGAGCTCATCTTTTGTTTTTAGATGTTGGGGTTTTCTTTTATCTCCCGTTTCTTGATCATCTTCACCCTCTGACATTAGCACCTCTGGTGGCTCAAAAGAAGAGGAAGAAGATGTGGAGTCCGAATCACTGTACAGGGAAATGAGTGATTAGTCACACAGCAAAAACAAATGTGCACACAGGTATTGCAACATGATAGCAAACATATTCTAGCTGCAGAATATTCTAATCACAGTGGTAAATTGGAATAAAATCAAAACACTTGATTGGGTTTCAATTTGCCACTGTGCACATCAGACATTTTGACCCAATTACAATCTTTGTGTTTTTTTATTGTTGATGAATTGTCATAGTATAAATTCAACACTTGCATTGGGCAAATTATCCCATCTAAAGCTGCCTGTACAACCAACAAGGTAACCATCTGGGAAAGAGCAAGAGTTGAGGATCCTCAAACTCTATACATTGGCTTAATTTTGCAATATTTATATAATCCTAATGGCAAAGGGAATGAAGCCAGCTCATTCCATCATTGTGATGGAGAGAGAAGAATGAGTTAACCTTTCAGGTTGATAACCTTTTATCAGAATGGGGCATGTTGGAAGGGAGCAGAATATAAGGACAATAATAATAATAATAATAATAATCCTTGCATTTGATATAGCGCTTTTCACGTCGGGTGGACGTCCCAAAGCGCTTCACAGAACACACTGTAAAGTGAATTGACTGTATATTTGTGGGCGAACGTGGCAGCCAATTGCGCACAGCAATGTCCCACAAACAGTCGTAGATTGAAAATGACCAATTTATTATTCTTTTGTTTTTTTGGAGGGATTATTATTGTTATTATTATTATTGGACAAGCAGAGAAGGGGGCAGGAAAAGAAAGACAAAGGAAAAATTTAAGTGGGGGGACGGAAGATGACAAGGTCAGAGATGTCATGGTGCAAGACAAAAGAAGCCAATAGTGGGAGATTACAGAAAGAAAAGATACATCTAAGACCCAGAGGATGTGTGAATCATTATAGAAGCGGTGGAGGGCGGCAGAGAGAAGATGTGATTTAAGATCTGAAGTGGTTGAAATCAATGTTGAGGCCACAGGACTGTAAGGTGCCTTGGAGGTAGATGAAGTGCTGTTCTTCGAGTTTGCATTGTGCTTCATTCGAAAAGCGTAGGAGGCCACGGACAGAGAGGTCAGAGTGGGAGTGGGAAGGAGAATTAAAGTGGCAAGCAACCGGAAGCTCAGGGTTGCACTTGCACATGGAACGGAGGTGTTTGACAAAGCCATCACCCAATCTGTGCTGTATGACCTGCTGAGTGTTCGGGGCGAGTTCTGTTTTTGTACCCAATCTGTACTTGGTCTCCCCGATGTTCAGTTGTATTCTGCAATGGAAAGCTGCGATCATCTATGAAACGCTGTACATTATAAAATCGAGATGTCAGAGCAGAGCCAGCTATAGTGCACAGGAGGAATGGGGAGAGGGTAGAGATTTTCCCAGTGCAGTGAAGAGCTGAGAGAATATGATATCCTATTTAATACCTGATACTTAATATCCTACTGAGATATCACCTATTGCAAAAGTATTGTGTATTAGATTATGATTTTAACATTTTCTTCACTCTATGCTTGTAATTATCTCTGACTGAAGATATTTTCTCAAGATAACAGAGATGATATTTTTTAAAAATCACAAAGCGTTTGATAATTGTGCAATGTTTCAGGGTTGCACATCTGATACACTTAAATTATCACTCTGACTTGACAGCCTTTTCAGATCTTTACAGATGTCATATATATGACATAAGTTGTATCAAAATTGGTTCTAAAAGCCCCAAAGGCTGAGTGCTCAAATTTTAGTACTAACATCAACACTGCTGGGGTAAAATGCTGTCCAGGTCTATATTTACTCTATTAGCATAGCATTTTAGAGCGTATAAAATTTGTTGAATGGTTAAATACAGCCTTAATTTTGAAACCACTCAATTATTTCAAGAGTCCGTAGAAAACAGTCTTCAAACTAAAAAAAACTGAATTCAGTAATTTGCCAAATTCTGCACAATCTGAATTGCTACATTAAATAGATTATATTGAGACATAGGTGGCATTTCTACCTTCTCTCCCTTCTCCCTACCCTGATCTCTGGATACTTTCATACTGAAACAGTATAAAAGTTGTGTTACAATAACACAACTTCTATACTGTTTCTTACCGGAGGCAAGCCTGACTAACATGGAAACTTCTGCTATAAAATGGCTTGTTTTTTCTGTCTCCGATTTACAATTGACCTGACTTGAGATGGATCAATGGTTTTGGATGGAGTGAGTGCTGAATAAAAAGTGGCATGTCCGGATGTGATTCAGCATGTGACATCAGTTGCCGATGTCCCATTTTGATTGACTGCCTTACCAGACTGAATTTACTCTCTGAGATGTTAACCTGCGTGAAGAGTGCTCTAAATGCAAGTTTTGTTGCTGAATTGAGTAATAACACCCAGATCAACATGAGCGCCTGCCTTCAACCATAATCTGAGGCCTTCCAAAGAATGTCAGTGGAATAAAAGGCTTTCTCCGTCGTAAACTTATTTTACAACCGAGAAGGATGCATCTGGCAGAACTGCCTCAAAACGCACCACAGTTGAAGCGTGCTGAAACACCTATCCTTCATAGAGAAATTTCTGAAGAACACCATCTCAGACCCTTGCGCAATTACCAAGCGGTCCCCAGGTAGTTGAAACAGTTAGAAGGGGGAGAGGGCAGACCCGATCTGGAGTTACCCTGAAGCGACTGCCAGCTACGTCACCGGCCCTGTCCAACAACCATCAGGATGCGGCCTGGCTGGCGATAAAAAGGGCCTCCCTCTCAGCGCTTCCATGCCAGTCAGCTCTGCCCTCGGACTGGCTGCAGAGGCGAGGTGACCGTGGACCACCTCTTCCTGGAGTGTTGGTACGCGAAGGCGCTTTGGAAATAGGTACAATGGCTGCTCTCGCGGTTCGTCCCTGGGGATCCGCTGCCACTGCATTCGATGCTACACGGCCTCTGCCCGGGAACTCACAGCGAGACCTACATCGAGTGAAGCTGGAGGATCATCAACTCGGTGAAGGAGGCCCTCACTCCCCGGCGCTTCCGCAATCTACCCCCGGCGCTTCCGCTCGACTGGCACTGGCCTCCTGCTCGTCCCTCGCAACCTCCGCTCCACCATCACAGATCACACTTTCAGCCACTACGCCCCAAAACTCTAGAACGCCCTGTTGAGCGCTCTGAGATGCTATCCTGCGTGGAGGGCGCTATATAAGTACAAGTTGTTGTTGTTGTAATGGGCCTGAGATAAGCGCAAATATATATCAACAAATAAACATATTTTTTTTAAAACAAATCCTCTCTTCATGGATGCTGCCTGGCCTGCTGTGTGTTCCCAGCGACTTCATCTTTTGTGGCCTTTCATTTCCATGTGAGAAATTGATTTAACTGAGTTCTACTTCAGCTTTATCTCTTCCTCCTGCCCTCCCTCAGATACCCAAAGTCTAATGATGATCATCTGCAACAAACTGATAGAATTTATCTCGGAGCACAATCCATAAGGCATATTAATTCATTAATCCTGCGAGCAAACACACACAATTATACACCACATTATTTCCAGAGAAACCTGAATAATCCTGAAGGTCAAGTAAGAGCAACCTAGTTTCCTTGTGTTATACAACGGGCAATTAAAACCATTAGTGCCATACCCTGTGAACAGTATAAACAGGCAGCAACACACTTCCCTTCCAGGTTTTAAACAATCAGACTATTAAACTAATTATTTTGATGTATAAACCTGAACTCCAATCAGACAACCAGATGTTTACACACCTATCAACCTGTTATTGCTGCTGGTTACACCAAATCAGAAAACACATTTTATTTGTGTCTTCATTCCCATGCAACTGATGTCTAGACTGGAACAGAGCAGAGAAACCTCACTGCACCCCTCTCTGCTTTAATCCTCAGGAGATTTCTATATACCTGTCACCATTAGGCTTGCACTCCAATGCCTACACTGTATTGCAGTGTATCATTGTGCTGAGCAGCATTTTTTAATTAATAAAAGAACTTGCACTTATACAGCACCGTCCACATAGAACAAATGCCATGAAACACTCAACAAATATGATTGGGAGCACCCAGTATAGCCAACTGAGGATGCTCACCAAAACTGAGGTCAAAAAGATATATTTTGAGATAGTTCTGATTGCAGAGAGGGGAAGTGAGGTGAAGAGGTTCTGGAATAGAGTTCCAGGGGACAGGGCTTAGAGGTTGAAAGACGGTCAGACAGAGAGTGAGACAGGAACAAAAGGGTAGAATCAAGAGGAAGATATGTGCGGATACAAGGGTTGGAGGATATCACAAACGTAGGTAGAGGAAGACCACAACGGGTTTTGAAGATCTTAAAACTCAATTAGTTGAGGTACTGGGAGCTAGTAAAGCATGGTAAAGAGAGAAATAGGTTTGCGGGATGCTAGATGGAGAGAACACAGGCTGCAGAGCATTGAATGAGCTGGAATCTGTAATGGGCAGAGCTATGCAGCAGTCCAGGAGATTATTGGAGAAGACTACTCTTGAGGTGAGGAAAGCACAAATGGGGCATTCAATAGTGGAAGACGTGAAGTTGGTTCAAGTCTGAAATAACCGAGAACCTTTCAGCTGCAAACTTCATCGAATATCCAACCAGAACCATCAAAAGTATTCTCATTTTAAATTAACAGCATTGTAATTTTCCTGTTAGTGCTTAGAGCCGATTGATCGTCATTCACAATTCACCTTCCAAAATGAAACCACCGTCACTAGTAGTCTAAACAATAATAGACAATTGTGCCTCAAGTGACTGTCGAAAATCAATATTCAATGATTACATCCAACAGCAAATGATGGATCAAAATATGTTCAATGCAACAAAACAATAAAAACAAGGTTCATTCAGTGTTGCATACATTTTGTGAGCAATCAGTGGGCTCTAATGATTCCCGGGGAACCCTGAAAGGAGCCACTATTGAGGTGTCACTGTTCAAAGCTGTACACAGCTGTAAAGCTCCTGAATGGCTCGCTCAGATATTAAAGATCAACTTGAAATTTTACCCCTGTAGCAAAAT